GGCGGGGGGAGAGGTGTGGAGAAAAACAGAAAAACAGGATTCTTTGCTAGGGGATCCATGGAATAATACCTCCAAACAAGCTCTACTTTTGACACCACAGGTGCTAAACAAGAACTACTGGAAGAGAATTTCATGACAATTTTCTCCTGTTTTAAGATACTTAGTAACTCAAATGTTGTACTTCACTTCTATGGCTGAGTTTTGAGTTAACAGGCAACTGCAGAATAATTGTTTTGCATTTTACCTCCAAAAGTATAACCCCCCCACCCCCCAAAATATAAAGAAAAAAGAAAAAGAGACAAAGAGAGACAAAAGACAAACTTCTGTCTTCTCATTACTCCCCTGCACCTCCTTCTACCAGACTTTAGCAGAGCAATTTTTAAACCAACCATATTTTGAAGCACGTTACAAAATTCACCTTATTTCCTAGATAGCACTCAATCTCCCCCGGAATTAACTGCTTCTGCATAGTGCCATCTGGCCTGTTGATTCCACCCATTTGCACAGAATAACATGCATCTATAAAACATGCAGCAGCTGAAAACACTGCCTCCGTTACAACATTCACTCTCCTCCGAGAAGCCCTACTTGAGCAGTACTGAGCACAAGAGATCAACGCTGCGTTCCAGAACATAGTTACAATACTAAAAGCACTCCTTTTCCAAACATGTGAAAACAGAGTACACAGATGAAGCAATAGTACTTAAAACACTTTCTCATAGTTGCCTTTTAACAAAAGCATTCCAGTATATCCTTGATCATGCTTTAGAACCAGTGTTCATATTTTTCTGTAGTGTTCCAGTGCCTTTATACAAAAAAAGAAATCTGCAGTGGTATTTAAAATGCCCTAAAATCTGGAATTCTTTTCTATTGTAGTTCAGATCCAAGTAAACACCACATTTCATATACAAATTATCTTTATTAACCTTAGTAGAGTTCTTCCCTCCTTCCGCTCTCCTCATGGCAAGTAAACCATAATGTTACTGCCTAACATATACAGGAGAATATCTCATAATGGAAAGCCATCTGTTTATAGCCTAAAAATTCCGAGTAGCAAACAATTTTGACAACTTGCATGTATCTACAAGACAATCCACAAGGGGTGCCTAGATGTAGCTGTTGTGGAAACAGTTAAAATTTCAAGAGAATAATAACTGAATCACAGCTGGACAGGGCAATCTTCATCGAGAGTCACTGAGTAAAGGTGGCACACACACACCTCAAAAGCTTTATGCATTTTATTGATTTTTGAGTCGTCCAGGTCTTGAACTAATGTATTTACAGGCTGAATTAGTCTAGTCTTGAAACCACTCGAAGCTATTTGTATACCTATTATGCTAGTTAACAAATATTATCTAAAACAACACATATGGTGAAATGCTGCCTTCATTAAATCTAATTTTTCCCCAATTAACTTTAATGAGATGAGATTTCTCTTAGCAAAGGAACCCTTAAAGCAAGAATTGTTATACCAGGTAACTATGCTAGTCTGACCCATAGCCTGAAAAACATCAGTAGTAGCATTTTGCTTTAAAACAGCAAGTAAGAAGAAAATGATGCGTTTGCATTTGTTTAATGGATCTTTCTAGAAAATAATACTATCATTCATTTATACAGAGCAACAGGATTAGTTGATTCACCTTCTACTTGATACTGTAACTGCATGATTCTACTTGATACAGTAAGTGCATGCTGGAACAAGGTAACTGAACCTATCATTATGATTTATATTGCACATTTAACTGGTGATATTTAGGCAACAATTCTTAATTACTAATACATTAAACCCAGATGTTTCCATCTTGTAACTGGCCAATACTTCCATGAAGCTCCAGTTGCTCAAGTTTAATCACTGAAGTAATTGAAAGAGAAGATCGATGCAAAGACTGCAACAGCAGCTGCTATTACCACACCTAAAATAAGAAAGGAAATGCATTCAGTGAGTGGCAAGGGCAGCACAGTCATTAGCAGATAGGGTGTGGAGGGCAGGGTCAAGGTGAATGGCAAGCAAGAGAAGAAACAATAAGAGCCACCCCAAAAACTATCTACCACTGCTAAGCCTAAATCTAAAGCTACAATGTCAGGTAACTAAATCATAAAAGGTCCACATGACATTTCTGATCAGAGGAGGATCCTTCCACAAATCCAGTTAACTGCATACTTCTGTAGTACCTTGGGCATGTCCTGGCCCACAAAATAATGCACCTATTCTACACTACTGTTTAATTCTAGGAATCAGACTAGGAAAAATATCAAAAATTTTAAGCTTTAAGAAACAAAAGCTATTAAGTTTTTTTCTTTTCTGTGTGGCACTACATCTACTCTAAGTCTCTTTCTACGGACATTTTCCTACATGCTTGTTACTGATGCAGTTGAGAAGACAACACACAAAAAGCCCAAAACACCTGAGTGATGATTCAAGAGAAAATATTTTTACATCCAAAGCAAACACATATTTACTGCTACTATTCTTTAATCTTCCAGTTACCAAGTTCTACTTCTAAGAATTAACAGAAAACTGAAGTTATTGTTCTGTTGACTAAAGTGTAATTGTATTTTAATATGAAAAGACAATCAAAACTCACAGCTAAGAGAACTGTACTAAGTGCAGATATATAAGAGCTGGATGAAGGAGTATCATGGAGAGTTTGTCTTTGAAAGAAGAGTTGTGTGGCTGGTGTCCCTGCATTATTGAGGCTCACAATTAGCACCCAAGCCCATCTATATTTGTCAGCTTCAGAAGATTAGTGAGACACTAGCCGATTTATGGATGCCTACTTCACAAAGCCATTCAATTGTGTGTGTCTGTTTTAAAGTATGGAATTATAGAAATGTTGGCTCTTCAAAAAAGAAATAAAGCTACATGAGACTTTAGTATTGACTTGTAGGCTGAATGAATGCAAACACTGGTTCTGTTCCTATAGTGGGCTGTGGCTCTTTCTTCCCCAGCAACACCCTGCACCTACAATACTGAAATGGGGACTCATTTCAGAAAAGTATTGTATTAATCTCACCAGTTTATTAATAATGCTCTGGAAGCCAAGAGTACTGAAAGCCCCATTACAGTTTCTGGATGGCCATAGCAAAAATCAGGGAAGGAACGTACCCATATTTTGTTGAAGTTTCAATAGCAACGTTGTTTTTGTCAGTTGTTTCTGTTGTGTGTCATTCATGTTGTTAGTAACTGGACAAATATTAACTGCATGGAAATCAAACAAAGAAGTAAATACCAGGTCGAAAGCTAACAGTTGCATTTTACAGCTGAATTAATGCAAAAGGCCCAGAACTTCATATCAACTTTATAAAGTAAATGTACTTTACATTTACTTCTACATTTATGGTAGAAAAAACAGTGTATTGCAGTAGAAATTGTACAGTAGCAACAGCATAGTACTAAAGTATTCTTTATGGCTGGGAGAGGAGAAAAAAAAAAAAAAAAAAAAAAAAAACAACAAACCAACACAACACATTTGGGAATAAGTTCCTCTTCCAAAACTCATTTTCCACACCCGGCTTTCACAGCAACATCTCCAACCCCTTTTACATAACCTGGGGAGAATTTGACTACTCCGAGAGGGAACCACCAAAACAAACCATTAACCACCTTCCAAGACCAAAGTTTCCATTTCAAAGCCTTCTGTCCTGAGTTCAGGCCACATGCAAAACCCACTGCCACTGAAAGAGTGAGCCCAACATCACTTCCCTACCGAACAGACATAAATGTGTTTGGGTTTTTTGGTGTGGTTTTTTTTTTTCTTTTTTGTTGTTGGTTTTTTTTGTTTGTTTTTTTGTTTGTTTTTTTCCCCAAAGCACAGAAATTCCTTTTTGAAGATCCCCTAAAAATACACTTCCAGAGCAGGCACAGAGGACACATTGCCCTTTGGTACAATTACTAAATCCTTAGACTGCTCAGCCAGGATGTGAGAGAGCTTGACTATTTCCAGACCCACGGGATCCAAACCTGTATCTTTTTCCTTTCCAAAGATTTCCTTGGATAATCACTTGGCTATATCCAGCTTGTTAGAGAGGGGGAGGAGAGAAAGAAGGGGATTAATCTTGAGTCCTCTAGCTGAACTTGTTCATTTGTCCCACACAGAGCAAGCATGCTTTGAACTACGCAGTTCAGTGACAAGGCTACTTGATGGGGGAGGGGGCAACGGTCTTCAGTTTGCATTCCTATCCCCTAGACAGTTTGCTAAGGCATCACTAGTTGAAAGTTCTCATTACAATCCAGTAGCTACTATTGCAGACACCTTCTGGACAAGCAAACAGTAAGAGAAAATGTTTGTGCTACTGCAGTGAGATCCGGATGTCTGCGGAAAGAACAGAATGGGCAAACTGAACTAAGAAAAAAAGCCTAACAGATTGTTCTTGTTCAGAAGATGAACAAGAAAACGTACAGCAGTACCAGATATCAAGTTTTAGTCATTCATGGAATACTGATCTAAATAAAAACAGATGTCCCATTTCCACAGTAGGGTTGTCAATCAGCTATAAATTACAGATTATATAGTTGAGTAATGAGGCACATCCCTTGTATGATTCATATGAAAATGATTCACGGAAAAGTACTTTTCCTATCATATCATTAGCTATGGGGGAAACGTGTAATCTAGAAAGGTTGTTTCTGTCATCCGAGTCATCTGCATGACTGTTCAAAATCTTCTGAAGTCAAATTTGCATAAGATTTGTTGTTACACAAAAGCACTCAAATTAGACATTTAGGACCTGTCTTTAGCCATTTTTATCCCCAAATCCACTGACTTTGCACAGGATGTACTACAGCAGAGCAATTAATAGCTGTCTGATACAAAACCTAAAAGGACAGCAAGATATATATGCACACATTAAGCATAAACACTGCTTTGAGACTTCTCTGCAAGGTGCATGTATACGTAAAATAAAAATAAGGACACACTATTTCAATGCAAGGGGCGCTCTTTTGAAGAGAAATTATCAAATGTCTCTGAAGTTCCTTGGTCCACAATGAGGCTGTAGTTTCATCATTCTCTTTTCTATGCAAAGGAAAACACAAGTTCATCTGCCTAACATATGAGCAGAAATCATCAACTAGAGTAAATGAATTATTACTTGTTGCAAGATAGCTTTTTATGTACTTTAATTAGCACAGCAGGAGCACCACATTCTCTCCAAACTACAATAAAGTTTTCAATTCCCTAAAATAACACATCACTTTTACAGAAGCAGACCACATTTCTGAGGTCACCTTTGAAGTCTAGATCCAGCAGGTTTCTTTCTGCTTCAGTTTTAATATGTAAGTAGGATATAATTTTTGCCCTCTAACTTTAGGTTTCTTTGCACCTTCACAAGAACTGTTGCACTTTTCTGAAGGTAATTTTTAAAGCTGCACATCAAGACAGCAATGCTTGCTTGCTCAGGAGGAAAAAAAAAGGAAAGCGGAAAAAAAAGAAAAAAAAGAAACAAACACCTTTGAGCTATTTAGTTACCAAAAGCATTTATGCCATTAAGTTACGGAAGGCTTGCATGTGAAGCAGCTGTAGTATAAATCACACAAAGAGTTTTCAAAAGCAGATGCTTTTTAGTACCGATTATATGAATCCTTAATTCATTATTAATTCTTAAATTTACAAACAAAGATGGGGAAGTTATTACCACTACTGAAGTCTTATTTATCCACTCAGGGTATTTAACTCACCACCCCCACCCCCTACACCAAGGAGGGGCAGGGATTTAGTAAAGCCAATAATAAATGCAGAGCTTTCAATTGCTTGTACTAAAGCACTAAATACTTGAAACTCAGTGTTAGAGCTACTTATATCTTTCAATTATGTCAGGTCAGGTTTTACTTTCTATCTTCCATGTAACAATTTTAAAGTATGACCCAGTAGTGACCTCACTGAAGAGCTGTACAAGGAGTCTAGAGAATAAAACTATAGGAAACAGCAACAGAGGCCTTACTAAGCAAGCACATAAAACTGATCTTCTCAAAATACCTTTATTTCATATGTTTTGACTAAAAGCTACTTATATAATAAATCTTTTGGTTATACTGATTAGATCTGCTTTTCAAGTGCATATTTTAAAGAGCAACAAAAAAAGTTATTTCAAAAGCCTGTTCTTGAATTTTAAACAAGTCTTATTATCAGCAAACTTTCCCCAGAACTTCACTATGGACAGCATTTCCAGTTAATTCAAGGTTGGTGCCTAAGACCACAGGAATCTTGACACAAACAGAAAGGCTGATGTCAAAATTCACTACAAACTAATTTTTACACCATTACTGAATATTGACCGTTATTAATAAGCGCTAAGCTTTGAGAAACAACAAATGCTACCCACATTGGAACAATGCATTGAAAAAGCCTTTACACAAGGGAAACCACAAACTCTCATTACATCACACAAACAAGTTTACAGTAATACTTAGACACTTTACACCAAAGTACCAATAAAAATCAAATTTCAAAATTAAAGCTTTTCTTTACAATGCAGAACACTTTTCTTACACAGTTAACAAGTCTAATTTCTGAAATAGCCTTCCCAGCATTAATAAAAGTGTGTAAATAAATCACAAGTTAATAATGCCGTAACAATAATTACCAGAATCGAACAGCGTTGTGCTGCTAGCATCATTACTATCACTGCTATTAACAGAGCCTATTCTACAGACAAACTTTATAGTGCTCACTGGGACAAGGCCACTCTCTCAGTTTTTTCCAAAATCCTCTTTGTATGTTTTATTCCTTTCCTCTGCTATTCACTTACTTCAATTCACTTTTTTCTATTAAAAAAAAAAAAGAAATCCCACTGACCTAACTCTACAACCAGCAAGATACAACAACACACAAACTCATTTTTGTGAGCTACCTGGACATCATTTTACACATATTAATGGCATCAAATCTTTATGAAGCACTGCTGTTAGTCTAATCATGTTTTCTTCCTACCTTCAGATCATACATCCTTACATATGCAATAAAGCTAAACTGAATCATCTTCTCTCTCCCTTCCACACCTATCTCCACTGCTACAACAACATTAATTTGCTTCCCTAAGTTATACTAATTCCTTAAAGCTCAGTAGCAACTAAGCTTTAAGATTATTAAAGTTACTCTTAAAATGCAAGAAAGATTTTTATTGGCTTTCCTGTTTTTCTTGAGGTTCTTGAGCTGTGTACATCTTTTACTTCTCGAGATAATGAATCAAATTCACTGCTAACAGGTTTAGTTAAAACCTGGGAAAACTGATTAATTTAGAAAGACATCGGAATTTATGGTCAGCTCTGAAATTAAGATGCAAGAATCTCTCCAAATAAACAAGTAGGTCAAGTAGAATACCAGTAATCACAGCTACCCTACACAGCAAGCTCGTAGCTACATTTTCCGTTTTTTGTCGCTAAATACCACCATCAGTAAGTGCCCTAAGTTCTTATCTGAGAACTAGTGTTGTGGGGTGTTTTTTTTTCTAAGTTTATATTATAAACTGTAACCTGCAGCTCACATTCACACTGATGGGGCAAAAAGGAAAGAAATCTCTTCCCTAAGATCGCAGGAAGTATTCTTAGATACATTTCAAATACAGATTTGTCTCCTACACTGAAATCAAAGTTGTGTATGAAAAAAAACATGAACAGGAAACAATATAAACCAGAAATACTCAGGAAAAGAAAGTCAGTTACTATATTACAGCAAAGTATCTATATTAAAAGGAATATAACAGTCACATAACCAGATGTGACTCCCTACTTATAAGATATTCAGTAGAAAATTAAAAGCTCCCTCAATTTTCTTTCCATTTTGGGTAAATCACAAAATTTAAGTTTTAGGCACTGCATTTGATACATAAATTAGAACACTCAGAACAAATAAACGTGCTTTGTATTTTTAGAAGAGTCGGGTTTTAGCATAAGATCTTCCTGAAAGACACATTGGACTTTACATGTATTTTTTAACATTCAGTGAAAAAACAGCATATTTGACTAAAGCTCTCAACTTCTCATTCTAACCTATTCTAAGTAGTATCAGAACTACTCAGCTCTTAAACCAGCAAAGTTGAGCTACTAAAAAAGTAACCAGAACAAAGTTTTACAGGTTTTTCCTCACAGCTTATTTGCCAGTACAGGATCAGCCTTAATTCATGTGCAGAGTAATGTATGCAAACCTTGCTCAACCATATATTTATGTATCTACCATAGTTCATGAGCTGCACCCACAGCTGCACAGATAATGCAGTGAAAGAAAAAAAATATTTGAGAGAAGAGAGGTGTGTTACAAGTCAAATACAAAAACTGCAAGAACCATTACCACTTTTCACAAATATATTTAAAATGTAATTAGATTGATACAAACCCTTAGCGCTTGATATGAAGTATGTCAACTTTAAGCATATCTATATCTGGACAAAACTGGCCTTTGGCATTAGTCAACATTTTCATAATCTGGGATGCAGTCTATCCTGGTTCTCAGATACTGTATTTACCTGTGCTAATTTCCTCTGCTATATGGATATCTTCAGCTTGCACAGATTGATCCAACATCTCAACAAAACGCTCCTGAATTTCTCCAGCAGCTTCATCACCAAACTTATAATCACTGAGCATCACACTGGATCCAGCAACAGGGACAAACAGTCTTTGAGGTAAGACATGATATTCCCTCTCAAAATCTAAAAGAAAAGGGGGGAAAAAATAACCATCCAAATAAAAGCCTTGCCAGTTTTGATAAGATTCCTCATTAATCCCTGACCATAAGATAAAGCTATTGCAAAAGAACTGCTCAAGGTTTCCATGTAAAAATCCTGTTTTCAGGCATGCTTGTTTAGTTGTCACTGCTTTATGAAAGTTTTGGCTGCTGTTATACTGATTTGTGTTTTTACATTAGTCTCTCCAGAAATACCCGAGATACCTCCAAAACAGACCATAAAATGTTTAACAGACCCTTTTTCATGTTTAGAATGACTAGCAAAAGAACTCTGGGAAAGACTGAAGATAAGAGCGTGCACAGAACAGCACACGATTTCAACACCACAAAGGATTGCAAACACTTGGCTGCTTTGTGCCCTAAAGCCACAAAGTAAGGATGCCACCTAAAGAGGAAACTTAAAACTGCATCGTGCTCCGTTAAATTCAAGCTAATGTAATCCAGCAATTACGCATGGTGCTCAAATAAGATCTACATCTTTAAAAGACACAAAGCCTGTAAAATAGTACTTGATGAAGAGAACGAAGTTCAGGAGGCAGAGACAACACAAATTACGTATTCGTATAGTTAGTTAAAAAAAAATAAAAAAATCAGGATGCTCTTCACATAGTAATCACCACATACAATGCCATATTTAATTTAATGAACTACTGAACTTTAGAGATCTTGTCCAGTAGCATTTGTAACATAGGTGATAAGAACATGGAAGGCCATGTCCAGCTGGTTCTTTTAATTCTACCAAATTTTAGCATACTTCAATTTTACTAGGAACACCATGCACTGATTTAAAAAAAAAAAAGTGCCAGTTACAGTCAGAACTTCAATGGCAGGAATTTCAACTACAAAATTTTTTTAAAATTACAAAATTCCCTATCAATGAGAAAGAAGCTGAAATTGAATTTTGTGGATGAGAACCACGTACAAGCTTGGTGTGAAATCTGTGATGCCAAAAAACATAGCTGAAATTGAAAAAAATTCTCTGGATTTAAGAAAAACTCAAGGTTGCTAGACAGAAACTGTGCCATTTGCTTTTTATTCTGCTCTAACCATACTGGAACTTCAGTACACCAGCAGAATTTTCTACAACCACCAAAATTCACTGCAAATGTTTTGGTTTAGGTTGGTGGGGATTTTTGTTTGGTTTGGGTTTTGTTTTTGTTTTTTTAATTCCTACTTTTTTTGTGAGGTCCTTCATTTATAATCAGATCTTCAAATAGTATTTCACACCGATCACTCAATGTGTTTATTATGTCTCTCTTCAAAGCCTGCAAGGACAAAGCAAAAACATCAGTAATATAAAAGCCGTTTGCAAAGCTTTTGACTAGTAAGAAAGAACAAAAAAAAGTTCCTCATAGGTTTAATCCATCTTGAAAGAACAGTTTTTCCCAGAAAATAAAAACTCTAGAGAGAATTTTAAGAAGTCCATAAAGAGATGCTAACATCAAAAAGAGAAAGCAACAAAACGAAAGGAAAAGCTGAGGAAAATTTTAGTATTCTTAGAATAAGAACTGACAACTATACATTACCATTAAAAACAAACAAAAATAATCACAAGGCACTGACTCAATAAGGGGGGGGGGGAAGAATCACTGAACAAATAAATCTGTATTTTCCCTCTACACATACAAAAATACAGTCTGTAACCTTTTCTTAACTATAAGAAAATTCTTCAAAGCCTAATCACTTGGACAAATTGTGCAAAGATTCACCAGAGAATAGCCTTAGCAACAGGAGACATACCTGCTACAAGTGAAAAAGGAACTGAATCCACCAAATATACACACAGATAGTTTCTAAAACAATCCCGATGTTCAAGGGGATGAACATTGTGAGCCCCGTTTAGACCATGTCATTTTGGCAAAGAAAAAAACAAGTCTCATGTATTTCAGAAAAATGTTTTTGATAAACTAACAACCTTTTTACTACCTTAACAGCTTCTTTAACTTTTGGCTTGTTGTTATGTATGTAGGCTCTGCATTTCACAGCACCTTTGAGATTTATGGAACCACTGCAGACCTGGACTGTAGCTGTTGATCTATGACTTGAACCCTGGGACTGAAAAATAAACATGTTTCAGTTTTATCTTGTTACCAAGGCACTTGCAGCATGAATAACAAAACACAGAGCTAGGAAATAAATGGCATACCTTAAGATATTTACATATAACCTGTTTTCCCTCAAAATTTAGAGCTCTAATTTTAGAGGGTTTTAGTATTGTTAGCTAAGACTGAAAATCTCTCTCCTTTTCCATTATGGAAAATGTATTTACTTCTCCAGACATTCCATTTCTTGCTATTTAAATACTTGTGTCTATAAGACTTCTATAAAACTTTCCAGGCAAGTGGCTTGTGGCTAATAGAAGTATTGCAATCTAGAAATATTTTTAAGATTTTAGGATTTTTTTTAAACAATTAAGTTTGTATTTTTACTATATGGACAGCATTAACCCACAGCGTCCTAAGGGTCATCTCATCAGCTAGTACTAAATTCTAAATGTAGTCACACTTAGAACTGTTTCAAACTGTTGCCTAGAAATATTCACCCTAATTACCAAAACAATGACCGTGTTGTATGAAGCACTCTGAGACAACACGCGGAAACACAGGGACGCATAACTTCCACATAAACTGCATAATCTACTTCTGCCAAAATAGAAAGCTTTCCTTTCTCTGATACAATTAACCACTGGAACAACGTAATAAGGAAAGAAGCAAAGATACCCGTGAAGGCTTCAAAATGACATTTTATACATTTCTAAAAGTTTTGCTGAACAGAACTTTATAGAATCCAGGAACTATCTGACAAAACGGTATGGCCTGTCCTATGCAAGAAGCCTACAAAACAATGCCTGGACACATTTGGACTTTAGGACTTAGACTGTGGCACCTAATTCAGGATTCAAGTCAGCATAACCTCTGGTAGAGATGAAACTCCTGATACAGACCAAACAGCTCCAGATTATGATTCAGCTCACAGAATCTGCCCCTTAACCCAGAACTAGTGAGAGCTTCTGACGAAAGCATTCAAGTAAATGTCCATAGCTAGCCATGGCAAGCTGAAGCATGGGGGCGATTCTGAACTTCAGAGTGATGCAAAGTCACCTTGAAATCAACGTATGCAGGTATGTACAGGTACCTTCCTATCAAATTAATTAGTTTGCAGGACTTCATTTCTGTAACAAGTTTTTCAAATTTTCCTTGCAGCTATACTGTGCAACTCTTAAACAATGTGGATATAACATCACAAGAATTTCTAAAGACACGAAATACACAGATCTGTCCACAATCAGTTTCACAGTCAAAATCCATGGGGGAAAAAAACGGTTTAGGATTAAGTAAACTGGATTTCTAGACAATAATTCAGAATGTTATTTTAGTTTTTTTATTTTATTTTATAAGATAACAGCAAGGCTATACTTTACAAACCACTGAATACTTACCAGCTGTGTCAGAACCTTGACATCAGAAAACTGAGTGCTGGACTGAGTACTTCCTCTTAACTTTTTCTGAGGGGAAAAAAATTCTTTGGGTCATGAAACAGGAAAAAAAAAAAAAAAAATCTCCCTGAATCAAAACCTCCTCACTATGGTATAAAATGTGTCCTAGTTTATAGATTTTAAGAGGAAAAAAATGGCATATAGAAAACAGCCATGAGAATATAATTACAAAACTAAAATGAGAGACGGCTGCATCAGCCAAACAAGGTGCTTCCACTCTTTGATAAACATTTAGACATACATAGGTCTTAGAAAGCTCATCACCTTACTCATGTTCTTTAATGAGAAGACAGCACTTAGAAAAAGTTTTACTCAGACTTCACATGTAATTATTGCATTCACATTGCCAGAGGAAGAGGCAATCTGCAGCAATGAAGAGGGGAACACAAGCAGTCCTGCATACTAGTTACCTGAAATAGGCCAATTAGATTGACAAATATTGTACAGATGTTTCAGTCAATGTTTTAATCACACCGGAGGTTCTAACTACACATCTATTAGAGTTCATTTCCTTATTGTTTGGTACTCACTTGCCCTTCCAGTAGTTCTGTATCATCATCTTTAACTTGTCCATTGATCAGAAAAACACTGTCTTCTATCTGTTTTGACCATCGGTTTAACCCATTCTTTAAAAAAAGTGAAAATACAAAAATCTCTTATAAGAAAGAGGAAAGAGAATTTCAGTAGAAAAGTTGGACATTATCATGCTGAAAATTATAGAAACACATGTTTCAACAGTTACTCCAAAAGAGTTTTAAAGTCTCTGAAAAATCTGTCTATGTTCTTCTGAAGCTAAATCTCAAAACCAACACACTCAGAATATATCCATTAAGAAATAAACATTTCAAAACTGAAGCACTAAGTGCTACTCCAGGGATTTTGATTTCTGTAGAGTGGGATGCAGCCTACTAAAAGTCAATTCATATTAAAAACATCCCATACCCTTGTTCTAATTGGATGTAACCTTTCACTAGGTGAAGCAGAAGAGACTTTAGTTGCAATACTGATGACAATTGCTAAATAATTTTGAGCAAAGGAAACTGCCAACACTAAGCACAACAGAAGAAAAGCTATCACATTGTTTATACTATGAATGCTTCATACTAACTTCAAATTACATTTAAAAGAGCAATAACTGCCAAACATTCTCCACTGATTAGTCCTACTCTACTCCTCTACTCGCACTATTCAAATTTTTCATAGCATCATAGAATGGTTTGGGTTGGAAGGGACCTTAAAGATCATCTAGCTCCAAACCCCCTGCCAAGGGCAGGGACACCTTCCACTAGACCAGGTTGCTCAAAGCCCCATCCAACCTGCCCTTGAACACTGCCAGGGAGGAGGCAGCCACAGCTTCTCTGGGCAACCTGTTCCAGTGCCTCACCACCTTCGCAGTAAAGAATTTCTGCCTAATATCTAACTTAAATCTACCCTCTTCCAGTTTAAAGCCATTACCCCTCATCCTATCACTACACACCCTGCTAAAGAGTCCCACCCCATCTTTCTCTCATTTAACTGGCAACAGAAAAAGCAGTGTAGATACCAACTACAAACTGGTGCAGCCAGTTAGTTACCTTGGTATTCTTCTCCAAGTCATGGTTTGATGAAGTAGCAAGAAGCGGAATGTGAATATTAACATTTACTGTGCAGTCCAAAGCTAACCAGGAAGCAGACAAAGCACTCTGATATTTCCAATCTGCCGGTTTGGCTGAACTCTGAGAGCAGAAAAAAGTAACAAAGCCTCTATACAAAACACTGTATAGCTCAAATAGCTACTTTTTTTGAATCATTACTTGTCATGCACTAAAAGCTGTATACGACACAGAGGATGACAAGCTTACCTTTGGATCCTGTACATCATAGGTTCGGCAAACTACTCTTTGCTACTTAAAGAAAAAGATCCAGTGAAAAGCAAAAAAGTAAGAACAATTCACAATTAACTTTGTCCTTTACTTAACTTCTTCGCTGAGCTAATTTATGCTCTGAAGAAAGTTCTCAACTTTCATTAGCTTAAAAAAGTGGAAAAACATTTGACTGTAAACTCCAACTACTATAGTGATGCTGTCCCACCTCTTACAAATATATTACGATCGATAGGTTTTCACAGGGAGAACCACCAATGCACCAATTTGCAATTTGTACTCATCTCTCTCACCTAAGGAAAAACCTTACTTTCTCTACTTGTATTATCTCACTATCAACAGATCCAGAATACTTCTGCAGCACTAGTACAGATCCCACGTGTCCACGACTTCCCCACTTCCATGTAAGTATCATTGGTAGCAGCAAGCTCAAGCAGCTATACAGTATTTTAGATGTTTTCTTCAATTTACAAAATTTACTGGGTGTGCAGAAATGCCAAGCTTGTAAGGTCATTATGCCCTGGACAGAGCAAGGACGAGAGCTGAGCAACTTGTTCATCTGGCAAAAAACAGCAAAAGGATAAGAGTGCTGGTATCTGCTTCTCCCTTCTACAAACCTTGTGAGGGCAGATAACAGCTGGGAGCCTTGCGGAGGCAAGACAGCTCTGTTTTGGCTAAAGAGTGCAGAAAAACTGTTTCAGCACAAAACTCTGAAGGCTACGCTGCCCTGGAGTGAAACTTTTGCTTAATTATCTAGGAAATTAGTATTACAGTTAACACCCCTGCTTAATTCTATATATACATGACTATGTCACTCAACTCTCCACCTAAATCATGCTATACATAACCCATGGGAGGGGAAACAGAGAATTAGAGAATAAAAAGAGGAGAATAAGGGGTAAAAATCAGGATAATGGGACTGAAGATCTAGAAGAGACCGTCGACACGCTGTGCTCCTCTTCCTCCACCCGAGATAGGGACACCTTCTTGGTAGGAACTGCATCTTCGCCCCTGGCGAAGAATACCCAGGAAAACGTGGCCAGCATGATTACGGTACATCAGCGCTATTGCAGTAAGTGCATTTATCAACAGCAATTCCGCAGCTGTTGTATCTGTGGCCTTAATAAATTACCTGTATTTGCAACTTTGTGAAACTGTTTCAGTGAAAGTCCCCGAGAGGGCTCTGACAGGCAAAGTCACCTCCTTACTCGTAACGTGACACTGGGGAAGGCACAATTCGATGCCACCACACAGAAAAACCTAACAGTAAGAAACGATGGACACTTTGCAAGGATAAGAGGGTCAATAGTCTTACTCCTGGCTGATCAGAAAACTTCATGATTTCAACTTACTGAGCTATGCCTATCTGAACTCAAGCAAATTCCTCCTCCCAGTTTACCATTTATTCAGAAATAACTACAGAAGAGGTTGGCGGTAGCAGTCTCCATCAATTAAGCTTCCTCATAAAGGATACTTTTTTGTAGCAGAACAAATTTGCAGAGCTGCTCTGTCCAAGACCTCCTCCTCAGCAGGTTTCCAGAGCCTTCTTTTAGTCAAGGACTTTTCCACTGAGAAGATTAGCTGAAGATGAAAAAAGTATTTAATAATTTTTCCACAAAGTAATACATTGTAATTTACGGAAAACAGTCTTATACTAAAGTTCTAATTCCAAGTGATATCATAATTATGTATAAACAGGAAACATAGCTTACATGTCACTAATGTCAAGTTAAAAAGACATTCAATGAAGATTCATAGACAATTACTCCAAAACAAAAGTTGCTTGTGAAATCTTAATTCAGCTTCCTTATAAACCAAATGAAGCAACATACATTCACATATTCAACTTGTACGCTTTTCTCCTTACAAAAATATTAGAGCTTTATGCCTATCAGTTGAGGATCAGGAAAGACAGCTGTGCAAAATAGCTACTAATTAAAAAAACTAAACAAATTTTAATTCAGCAATCACTGATCATGTGGACACGGATCACCTTTTTTTGTTGGCTACTAGTTTCAGTAATCACAAGGGAGATGTGATTACATTGCACTGCCAAAACTGGATCTTGGACCTCATGCTTCAAACCCTACTTGTGTTTAAATCACTTATCATGCTTATCTTACGAAACACATGAAAGGAACATACATCTACAGAACAGAAACTAAATGTGGCACTAGATGCCCCAAAACTGTAACAAAAATGCATTTTAAATCTGTGAGACAGTAGCACGTTCTAAGTAGTTTTAAAATATAACCCTAGACACCTAAGTCAAACACCACTAGTTCTATACAGGATACTTCTTTTAAAGGAATCAGAGCTATAGAGCAGTCACTATTTTAAACACCTCTAATCTGAACAATTCATTCAGGCAAAAAAGCTAACATGCTACCATTACTAACGACTGTGCCAAAGTGATTTAGTTTAAGATAAGCCTTGAGGATGTTTTTCTTAAGCCAGAGTGTCCACCTTCAGTGAATACAGTAAGATATGCTATTGTAGTAACAAGCATCACGAGAAACAGAAAGTTGGCAAATACAACCTGTGGTACAGTCACACAGGACAGGATTTCTGAGGTTTCAGTCTCAAAACCATACACCAAACAAGAACATTTGTGCTTTTAGAAATAAATCAACAAAACAATCATATATACTCAAGTCAATGATAGAAAATCAATCACCTACACACCTAAAGACATTCCTGTCTTTCCACCAGAAAGTCTACTTACCTTGCGCAAAGCATCTTGACTATCTTTTGACAGTTCTGGAGTTGCAATAATAAATACACCAAGAACTAATAAGCCCCCAGGAAGCATTCTAGAAACCTTAAAAATAAAAATGAACACTTATTAATAGGAATCAGAGATCTAACAAACATGTAACTTGATACATAAGAAATTTCTAAGCAAGCAAGTATGCATCAAGTATGCAAATAAAATAAGCAAGAGTGTTCTTCACTTAGAGGTTCCTCTGAAATGTAGGAACACATCTCGCAAATATTCTCTGTTCAGTCTTATCAAGCCTCTGTTTCATCATAAAACTTTGAACACAATACAGATATTTTGGTTTAAAATATCTCTGCCTAGCATGGGTAGTACGGTTCTCTTACTTTGAGAAAAAGGCTTGAGATTACACAAGTCATGAGAGTTTTTGCCAACCTTATTTCTTTTCTGTTCCTCCCATCCCCTTCATCAACTCCTACTGTGCTACCTGACTGGCGTGCGTGGTTATCCATTCTTCATCAATGGATGCCAGTTTTGAAGGACTGATGCGGTCTTCCTTTTGCTCTTCCTTTGGAGGTGTTCGAACAGCCCGAATTACATAGTCTCTTTGAGGAGAACACTTTCAAAAACATCAATATAAGCAATTATACCATGCGGCTGATATCAAGTCTGAGAATATACTGCATAACATAGTAACTGTAAGGGCTGCTTTACACTAGGTATTGTTAAATACTATAGTAATCTGTTACAAGAAATAATTCATTCACAAATTACTTTTGCCTTTGCCTTAAAGGCTTGTTTAGTGGTAAGTTTTATCTTTATGATTTTAATTTCTTTTCTGTGCGTCGGATCTTTCACAAAACGATTTTAAAAGACTTGAGCAGTTGGTTGACACTGCAAACACTTTACAGAAGTCCCTGCTGGTCGTATTACCACCCTCCTGCATTATACAAACTCAACGTGATGTTAATAGACTTACCCCAGCTGACTAAAGCCAAGGGGTTTTTCCCCTTAACATGAATGAATGGAACAGACTTCAGATACTACACACTTACCTGCCCTATTAACAGGCCAGTAACATAAGGCTTTAACTTGGTGCTGAGGTCTGAAAGATACTGCCCAATAGCTTCCTCAACAAAGTACGTTCTACCCATTGCTGCAGGTTTAAGACTAAGTATTGTAGTTTCAACCTACAAAACAAATAAAGTATGAAGTCAAAGAAAGTATCTATACCACAGTGGTTACATGAAAATAAGTCTCTCAAAGATCCTGAAAAGATTAATACTTTATCTGCCAAAAAAGTAGCTTTACGATCTGCAAGTTTGTTTATTTAAATGAAAAACATAATTCTCTATACGAGAGGAAGAAGCATGTGACACTTATTTGACAGAAAACTATTTTAAATGCCTGCCACTGAAATGACATGGCAAGTCATGCAAGTAAATGCTAGGAAAAACATGTCTCCAAGCAACAATTACTTGCTGCCTCATGTTTCATCAGAGGCCAGGGCATAGAGTGCATTTTTCCATTCATACTCCTCTTTGAGGGACTTGCTGAACTTCACACTTAAAACGTGCCATGCACGACTTTTGTTCCAATTCTCAAGGCATTAGAAGTACAGCAACTGTGGACTAACCATCTTTACAGCTCCCATCAGCAGCCCTATAAATCCAGGACACGGGGACTGCAACAGACACTCCTCCCTTCCATGCAGACCTATTTTGAAAACTGCTTCATGCACTGAAAACTTTCACAATAATTAATTACGAAAAAGATGAAGCCAAAGAGCACACAGTGAGGAAGCAAACGGCATTCTGAGTCTGTGCAAAGGTGCCTGCTGGGGAAAGCTGCACAAGGATGGCAGACACAGCTCTGGACCAGGGCGAGGAGGAAGACTGTCACCCACCTCACCTCAACCTACTGAGCCGAGCCAACAACCACCTCTGCGCCCACCTGCACTGGAGCCCGGCCCACAGCTCGGCGGTCGCTCCCGCGCAGCTCCCCCACCGCCTCGGGGCGCGGGCCACCCCCAGCGCTCCC